GTTCCAAATCTGTCAATCTTCCTCTAGCCTCGTTCTCTCCTCGACAATCGTAACTTTGCAAGTGCCGCGCGCAGGCTGTCATCGATCAGACGACAAAAGAGACACTCGTTCCCGTCGACGTCGACGCGTCTCTGGATATCGAAATCGGGGGAACGCGTGGGTGGAAACCGGGTTAAAGGGGCGAAGAATATAGGAAGAAGACGCGAGAAATATAGGGAAAAACGTGGGGGAAAAATACAAGGGTGGAATATGGGAACGGTGACGTGCTGGTGTTTCGGTATTCGATCTCGCGTCACTTCCGGGCTGGATTATTAGAAGTCTCTCTGTACCTTCGTCTCGCCGCCGCCCTGGGTGCAAGGACGAGCGGTGCAGCTGCAGGCGATGGGGTCACCGCGGCCGCGGCGACCGCTGCAGCTGCAGCTGCCGATGGCGCCGCCGCCCCCAGCCAGCTCCACGGCATGGCCGGCAACCTGTATCCTGTTTTTGTCAGAAACTGTTAGTTCGTTGCATCGCCTGGGCGATTACGCTCGCGATTATGCTCGCGATTATACTCGCGAATGATCTCGCGATCATCGGTTACGTCACGTCCGAGCAACCCCTAACGGGACACCGTGGATCTGTGGAAAATTTGATTCCGAAAGAACGCCGGCGGGAATGAATTACACGCGCGAAATACTATGCGAAGGAAGCTCGTCGATCGAGTTTCGACCACGTTTCCATTGGATTATCGCGTGTGATTTGTTATGGAGGCGGTGGGGTTGGAGGGACTATGGTAATTGGGTGTCGAGGATAATATATATTGATTGGTAGGGCGTTTCCGGAACAATTTAATACGTCCGATTGGTTATTGGGTGAAATTATATTCATACCTTCGCTACGAGAATTTCTGATTCGATATTCCGAGTATCCGCATTGATGTTTCAGGCAGCAGCCATTCTATCCCGCTCCGTGGCACGGAACGAGTAGAAAGTTGCTCGATCCATGGCGCCGATTAGGGGTTGAAAATGGCAGCTTGTCGCTAAGGTGTCTGG